TTTTGATCCGTGACCAACGAATTAAATGTGACCTATAAAATTTTTAAACTGTGACATATAAAAATTATTATTTGTGACTAAAAAATAATATGTGACTAATGATATTATAAATCTGTGACCGAAATGATTGCCGGAATAGTCGCCGGAATAGTGGTAGCCGAAGAAGAGTGGTCGCCGGAATGGTCCCCGGAGCGGTAGGGGTGGTGCATGTGGAGTGGGTTTATTATATTATATTATATTATATTATATTATATTAGAATTAAAAAAAAAACCTGATTTTTGAATTTTTAAACTATAAACATGATTTTTGAACTGGTGTAAACCAAATACCTTATTTATGAATTTTTCCCTATTATATATCCAAAAGTACACATAACGAGCTAGGGCCGGCCCTGACCAAGGTTAATTAGGCAAAGGCTTAGAGCCTCAACTCCTAAAAAAAAACCCAATTTATTTTTGGTGCACTTTTTGGTGGATTAGAGACTTTATTTGGGGTGATTTTTCTTTTTTTGTGTGTGTATGTGATTTTTTTTTTCATTTTTTATGGGGTATAAAGTAAGATGAAGTAGTTCATCAGCTAAAACTGAAAAAATTGATTAAATATAATGTGTTATTTATTTAAATATTTAAGTTTTCTTAAACTTGTTAAAAAAAATTGTTTAAGGACCTCATAATAATTAATCGTATGGAACCTCAGAGTTTTTAATACCGACCCTATAACAAGCCATACAAATAGGTAGTTGCACTTGAAAATGGGTCAACCCATCTTTCCTATTAGGATGGCTTGATATGAGTTATTGTTACATATTTACTATACCACAATTATACCAAAAGTATACGGTGTCAAGTTTGTAATATAATTGTGAAGTTAGGATGTTGAATCCATATGGATTGATTATCAATTTTATATTAAGTACTATAATTGAATAACCCTTATTTTATCTAGATGATCGAATTAAAGTATTAATTTTTTTAACTAATTCTACGGTGACAATTTGACTAAATCAACTATTGGAAACAAGATTGAGGATTAAGCAATAGGGGAAGGGCCTAGAGTTTTGATTTCGTCTAACTATCAATTATGTTTCTCAATTTTCTAATTATATCCAATCAATTTTTCAAGTTTATAAACAAGGATTCTAA